ATATTCTTCAGATTATCACACTGTTTTTAGAGTGAGACTAACCCACTATAGTGCCCAAGAGACTGCATGTAGATTACACAGCAAATATGATTCTGCGAGATCAAGTGTTCAAACTAGAACGTGTCAGTATTAAAGTTTTTAATGTATGCTTGTTGTAAGTGATAACAGATGGTTTGCAGAAGATTGTGCAGACTGTCTGAAGCAGGAGTCAAAAAGAGAGGACAAAATGCAATTCAGTGTTCACGATTCAGCTGAATAAGCCTCTGCAAAAACTTCCACTAATGAATTTCCCAATAACAACCACCTCATGTAGTATCAGGTAATGTAAAATTTCTATGTACAAACTATATGGAATTAATTTAATCTACAGAGAGGCAGCTTGTTGTGACACAGAGTTTGTGCAAGTATAACTAGACATGGAAGTGTTTCTAACATTGTGAATTATGCTTTTATAGTGGAAAATTGAAGTAATATGCATCTACTTAAAACACTAGAAAAATTAAGATACAATATTGACAGTAACATCTCTTTCCCTAATATTAGCACATTATCAATGTCAGCACATCAAAGAGAAAAAAAACCACACCTCTGACAATACTAATGCCCAGCTAATTTGTGAAGACAGAAGGGGCTTTGGTATCTTTCACATCTGTAAAGGAAAGTATTATTCTGAAAATTAGTGACCAACAGTATTAAAAGAGTTTTATATTTTCCATTCATATTTTTAATTCCAACTGCTTCAAGGTAGCCTTCAAAAACTACCACAGAAGCTTTATTAATTCTCTCACTACAACATTAGAAGTCTTTTGACAAGTGTGGAAGAATATTTGTTTAGGAGATGGGAAGCAGAATTTAAAAGCCACTTGGTATTGAATGGAAGTTCCAGGCAGTTGCATGGCTTGTCAATCACTCCCAACTCTAGAAATGCTCAGTCCATACCAAATAAAACTGAATCACACAGAAATTCACACCTTTTTATTTTATACTCAGCACACCAGCACAGATCCTTCCTCCAGTCTTATGTCAAGAACTGCCAACACTTTATTTAAGATGAGCCTTAAATACTACTGTGAAATTAATTTGCTTACAAACACAGAATCCTTATGCTTTTCAGACTTTTTAATGCTATCCCTAGGTAACTAAAATTGTTTCCACACATACTGTTTTCAAACTGCAAAGAGGAAACACAAATAACCAGTAGTAGTTATTTTAAGGCACAAATGGAGCTCAGCACCACTCTTCACGGCGTAACATTTCAAAGAGAAGTTCTTAATTACACAGTAGTGCTAAGTCACATCTATCATGTGTAGGACATGTGCTGAGGCTGGGCATGACAACATTATTTCATCCTGTCTGCAGTCAAAAAAAAATCACTGTAGCTGTGCAATCTTATGACAAGCATATGCCTAGAATAACAGCACTCACTCTGCAACTACTACTCAGTTCCTATTAGAGGATTATAACTTGTTATTTATGAGCATTAATGGCATCTAGACACAGTATTTAAATCTCTCTCAGGAAGTGTTAAAAATGCTAAGAACATTGCCATGGTAGCAGACATTTTATATTTAGTAAATGAACTCTGAAGTATTCTGTTGCATTAGTTAAGCATTCCACTACATTTATAATACTCAAATAACTTTGTTTTTGTAGAAAACCGTCACCATCTAGTGTACAGATAACAACAGGAGAACAAAGAGCTTGCGTTCTATTGAGGATCCTTCAGGAAGTTGTAAGTTTGAATGTTAACATAGTCAGTTAATAAGTTCTTATAAATACCTCTTTTAGAAGTGAAAAGCAGAGCATTCATAAAAGTATCACGTTGCTTCATTCTTTTGTTTAAGCTCAAAAGTTATATATGCCAAAAAGATCTTGTAAATTGTGAGGTACGCATTATATACAAATGAATAAAAATACAGCCCTAATTCACATTTATAAAGTATCTGCTTTTGTTCCTTAAGTAGTAACAATACAACGTATTTTGTTCAGAATTATTTTATTTGGATTATAGCAATTAGTATCACTGATCAGTAGGCCAAATCCAGGCAGAGAGCACAGAATCAATTTCACAAGGCAACAACACGTACTAGTATTTTAGCATACAAACCATTTCACTGTATATTATCGAGTAGAAATATCTTCCAACCATGCATAAAAACTCTATGCTTAATCTTTCAGAGCTCCAGGTAATACCAGATTTCTAAATATACAAAAAATACATTTAACTTATAATAATCTTAGTGAATCAGACTTATAAAATTACAATTTTATTCTTCACAACATAGAAAAAATACAAAAATGACTGTATATAGTTTTCAACCAAATTTCACTGACATAAATATACATCAAAATGTATGATTTGATGTATACTCATGAAAATTTTAAGCCGAAAGATAGGTTTTAAAATGACACTGCAGATTGGTCCACACAAATGCCAACCTTTCTACTGATAAATAACAAAAAAACCCCAAACCCTTTGATAGAAACATCACATTGTGAAAAATTACAATCTGCCTGCACCATAACCTGCACCTTACTGCAATTTACAATATGAACATTTCTACAATTCCAGTTGTAAACTATACACTGGTAAGAACCTTGGTCTTTTAGAAGGTAACGAGTAACTTGGACAAAGCCAGCATGGTAGAACATAAAGTATTGTCGACGGAACCAGTGCACACAACACAAAGGCTACCAAAGCAGAAAACATGTCTGCTGCAGAAGTTTGGTGATGCTGACAGAAAACATACAAACCAAGTAAATAGACTGTGGGAAAAAAAACCCTTCTAGATCTAGCGACAAAGAGTACTAATCAAAGCTTCTATTATAAAGGTCACATAAACCACATTACAATTTCAGTGACTGACAAGGGGAAATTTGTTCCTTGTTTTATGAGGAGGAAAAAACCCACACATGTGACCAAAGTCAGTATTAGGGAAAAACCCAAACAGTATTAGGGCATTGCACTACAGTTCTTACTCAAGATCACTTTCCAGTGATTTCCATGGAAGCTAACCTTGAAAGAGCACTGCAGGCTGAAGTGCTGTAATTCTTGTACATACTAACTGCATGTTCATACTTCAGAATATAATTTTTAAATCAACTTTGCTAATAAGATTTCTTACTATCAAAGCAATTTTTTTCTTTTAAAAGGAAGAGTAACTCCATTTTCTTTTAAAAGGCTGTAGTTTATTTGTGTGGTAAATTAGTATTTTCAATTAAAGTAAATATTCCATACTAAAGCTTATTCAGTAAAGATGTTTGTTGTACAAGCTTTCTCCCTACTGGCATCTTTCTGCTTTCCCATAGTGCCAATGCTGTCTAATACAGATCTGTACATCTTTCCCATCAACAGAGCTATGAGTTTGTTTCATACAGGAATATTACACAGCCATTTTGATTCTCCAAATTGGACCAACAGATGTGTAAACAAATCTTTTATTTGGGCACAGAAATCAAATCAAGAAAAGTTCAGGAGCTGAGCATCGACAGTATCCAGTAACCTGAGTACATCAGGAAATTAGATCCTTTAGATGACATCCTTTAGAAACACTGACACTAACTCCTTTGATAGCAAGTATATGCAAAAGGAGATGTTTCATTCAGAGGTGGAAGTTTACACTTTCAAACAATGAGTTCAGTATAATGAAACATTTCTCAGATCACTACAACAAAGCACCACATACTCTAATGGAGAATAAATTAAAATTGTTGCATCTTTGAATGCAAAACCACTCTGAGGTTGTATAAGGCCATAGCGTTTTTAATTACAGCCAATAACTGTCTCCAAAAGGTTTAAAATAGAAGCAAAGATCATTATTATCTCCTACCCTCTCCCTGCTTACAATAGTCCTGCTTGTGTTGAACAGGAAAGGTGTTACATGTATTACTGAGCGCTAGGAAAATTCAGTCAGACTTTTTGATGGAGCCAAAGAAAATTACTGAAAAATCCCAAGGTTTTTTTTGTTTGTTTTTGGGGTTTTTTTTTGGTTTTTTTTTTTAAATACAGCTCTGACAAACATAAACCAAAATAATTGTAAATCCAGCTCTCCCCAAGTGCTAGAACAGAGAGCCCGTGTCCTTAGCACTTACTGGCTATGTTTAGGGAGAGCTGCAATGTGTCAAGCACAAGTAACTGGGACACAGATATGGGCCATATCCAGGGGGAGGTGCTGGCAGGCACAGCACAAGACTAGTATTGCAGGGACCATGGTAGTGGTCACACCTCATTTATGCACTAAATCATGATGTTTCAAGAGGGAAGCCTGAGAAGCCCCTGTGTTGTTGTCTAGTGGCTCTGACTGGGTGAAGATAGGACTATTTGACTAGCAATCCCTAACAGAGCAAAGGCCATAATGTACACTGCCTTTGCTTGGGTATTTGTTCATTTCCCTGCTCCCTTTGTCCCTTCTATTCCCCATCCTCTGCCCCCAATCAACAGTTTGTTCAGAACTTGGGGCACTGCTCACACAGCATTAGTGCTCTCTGCCTTGACACAAGGTTTTCTCAGTTCTTTCATTTTCTGTTCTACCTTCCTGACGGAAGGCTTAGCCTGAAAACCCAGAGAAAGCATCTAGGAAAATTTAACTTTCTGTCGTCTTCTGCTCTTTCAAAAGAGCAGATGAGGGAGGGCTTGTCCAATCTGCAAAAGCAGCATGTAACACATGAGATAATCTGCTTTCAAAGAAGGAGCTTAGGACTTTGCAACACTTCAGAACCTGAGTGCCTGGAACTGCCTGCTTGGATGTGCCAGAGTGACACACATTAGTCACTTGAGAAAAGTTGGGTTGAGGAACAAGGCCCTCAAATGATTCCACAGTAGACCAAATAGTCCTCAACACTGAAAGATGAGTACCACTGAGATAGTGGACAGTGATTAGAGATGATAGTTTAAAGTAAAAAAGGGAGAACTGCACCTGTTTCTGGGTGACCTGCCTCCTTACATTGTTTAGATTCATTACTGAGATCGCTAGAAATATTACAGTTAGTATTATTTTTTTATGTTTAAAAAAGTATCCAGGATGCAGTACTTAGAGGAGTTTTAATGTTTCAGATAAGCATTACAGCCTCTGAATTAACATTAGCATTTGAGTAATCAGCTTAAACAAGATCTTCAGAGAACAGACTCTGGTCAGACACCTTACTGCTTAAATTCCTAAAGAACCACATTCCCCTAATTTCCCATAATTGGTTTCCTGTTCTTGTTCCCATCATCTTTTAAATACACAACCTACCTTTTTCAACTCAAACACTTTGGCTGGATTACATTCTCCACTGGAGTCTGACAAAATCCTAAAGTATTCCAGAGCATATTGTTTGCTTTCACAGCAATACATACAGTTTCTGGCATGCAGTCAAGCACTTAAAAAAAAGACGTATCAGTAATATAACCCCAATTCAAGCATTTAGTGGGTACAACTTCATCACTCATACTGCAACCTTCAGGCATTTAGTAATAAATGAAAACCATTTAGCACATCATTTAAGAAAAAGGAAAAGGCTAACTGCCAAGCCGTATAAAGTTTAAAAGTTTTCTGAAGCACTGCAAGCTGAAAATTATTTCAATGTTTTACATTGTGGAATTTCCATGAAATCAGATTTATTGGTTATTCTTGCTAAGTTATTGGTCTTTTACCTCTGACTTATTTTATCTTGGTATATTCTTTATAAATGTGCTGGGTATTGAAAATCTGCAGCATTTTGATGTTTGAAAAGTTCTGAAAAAGAGTTGGAATTACTCCGACTTCTTGTGTTCTTCAGTGTGGGAAAGTACCTTTCGCCTCTGATGTAGCATATGAAAATACAGCTGAGGAAAGACTGAAGAGAAAACAGACTTAAGTAAAGAAAATATAAAGTGAGGCTTACACATCAATGTAAGATGCACAGTCACATGCTCAAGGTCACCAATTCTCTATTAAAAGAAAACATGCTTATTCACTTTCTGCTCAAGTCATCTATTGCCTTTTATTCTTTCAAGAGAATAAGTGATATGGTCCTCAGGCTTCGGTACTATTTTTTTTCCTAGAGCAATGACATTTGTAATTAAATGCAAAATGCTTTATTTAACTCTGCATGTACAAGCAGGATGACAAGTTTCCTGAACTGCACACATGATAGAAAGAAAATACACTGCATGAAGGAAAAAGTCCTTCCGAAAGAATGCCATTTCCAGATTTGTTTCATTTCTTGTAATTCTAGTGTCACTTTTTCAGGATCTAAAGAACTTTATACAAACCGCTGCCTCTTTCATCTCTTCTCTCTATCCTCCATGCAAAGCTTTTTCTCCTCCTATTTCTAAGACATTACACAGAATGTTTGCAGAACAACAAAGCAGGGGATGGAAAACATAAATAAACAGCAAAAGCTAAAATTGCCATGAGACACTGAACCTTTGTGAACCATATGAAAATTAAACTAGGTCAGCATCAGCCTAAATTATATGTTACACATGCAAACTGTTCATCATAAACATAGGCCAAAGTCTATTAAATTTGTGTACTAAATTTTTTTTTGCAGGTCAACATTTTTTCTTTTGGCTTTCTTTACCCTGTATTTCACTCCTGTTTCCTCCCTATCCTGATTCACTCCACCAGAGTTAAAGAGTGAATACAGCTGTCCGGAGACATAACAGAATACAGACCCACATGGTTTCTCCATTAGAAGTTTACATAATGGGGATTCATTACATGCAAAGAATTTAATGACATCTTTTCTAGAAAGATGTCAATTTTGACAGACAAGTACTCAATTAGAGACTTAAAGTGAGGTAAATGGTAAGATGCAACTATCAAGAACATAAACCCCTCAATTTTTAACAACAGTTTTCAAAGCTTGCTTTCCTTGTGATATGAACATTCACAAAATTTCCAAGATCTTCAGTGGGTTCAGAAGGCTTAACTCCTGCATAGGTAGCTTTTATGAACGAATAACTGAACTATGGTGTAACCAATGACTGAAATTAACATTATTTTTCTTGTATTTCAGGAATAAGACAGGAACACCTTCATGTAAAAAGACACCTAAGACTGCATGAGTCCAAACAGTTGGTTCTCAGAGTTAAAATACCAATTCTCAATAATAATTAAAAAAAAAATAATTTAAAGTTATTTAAAAATTCAAGTTACACATCCAGCAAATGCTAATGGATCACAGAAAACACCTCATTTAAGAGACAGCAATTTTAATGGAGAAAGGGGGCTAAAATTGTTACTTGGGTACAATGTGGGTTTGCTCCCACATGGCCCGTCCCCTGCAATCTAGCTACTGCACAAGAAGTAATTAATACTTGTGGTTATTTTGACTAAAACAAAAGATACTATTCTGGCTGCTTGGAGTTAGTAACATCACAATTTTTGGAGGAGAGGGACAAGTAGAAAAAAATGCATGAAATGGGAGGCTTTTTTTAAGAACAGCTGGAAAAACTTATGAACCTTGATGTCAAGATGGTTCACTGAAAGTGTAAACGCTTGTTATAGAGACAGGCACACTACTGAAATTTATATCTTTGAATATGGTTTACCATTCTGCACAAACAAGGTTCATATAAAGACAGCTACAGAAATAGCTAACAGCAGCAACATCATCACTACATTATTCTGCATGTTAGACTTTATCTGCACATTTAAATTTGCTAAAGGCTTCCGTGTTTCTATTTCCCATTTCAAACCAGCAAAGCCAAATCTTCACTCCATTTATAGAAACATCAACCAGAGATTATGTCAGCTGAAGTTAATTCAACAGAAATGGTTCCCTACCTACTAATGCAAAAGCAGTGTTCGTATGCTTGGTAAAGAACTGAATTTTAAGAAGCTGTTTTGAACTTTGTTCTCCTAAAAGTCTGTAAGGGGGGGGGGGGGGAAATATTTG